TCGGGGGGAGGCAATAGACGGCAAACGTAATCACAGTGTAATTGAGAGAGTAGACAACGAACACCAGGAGGGTGTCTGGGAAAGTTAAGCGCACAAGGCGGGTGGTAGCATGTGAGAGAAAGAATGAACAGTGACAACAATGAAGACGGTAGGATAATCATAATGGATGGGTGATGAAGAGGTGACCACAATAACACGAGGCAGTTTCTATGTTGAGTCGAGATAATTGATACATATGATGGATTATGATAATAGGACAACAATTACGACAATCATCACGAAACAGTTTCCGTGTGGGTCGGAGATAATAGATTGCGATAACAGGTTGAACGAAGAACGGGTCACGATAAATAACACGAAAGTTGTTATGAGGAGCGGTGACGTAATCATAGGGGAAATACGTAAAAGTGCTAACTGAATGGCCATGGAGGGGGAACGTAGCGAGTTCCGATCCGGTGGACAAAAGTCATCAAACTGAGAGTTGGTTAGGACCGCACATGAATTGTTGGGTTTTTAACAGACTACCAGTAGGTCCGGTTTACGTAATTTCAATCATACAATAAAGCTTCTTACAGTAAGTGATCTTTGAGATCATGTTTATTTATATGAATGTAACAATCAAGGAACTGTGTGATGGAAAATGCCAAAGACACCATGACAAAAGAAACAATAGCACGTTCAGATTCAAAAGCCTGACCAGGATGATGCATTGATGGCTTGAGAACAATAATAATAGAGCAATAATAATAATAATAATAAGGGAGATTCACTTACAACTGTGAAAGGTGGGAGGAAACCTACTGCAGATAATCAGGACAAAAATATTTTCGTTCCCATGCTAACATGTTGTTCCATTTCCATTTTTCAATAATTTTTGCCTTATCCATCCCATTAAGACACATTTGGCACTATGATAATCGTGCCCCCACGTCCAATTCCCGGAAATCAAAATCTCCAGTGCTTACTTGTCGACCTATTGAGTCACGATCTACCTATGCCCGGAAACTGGTGCACGGTTCAAGATGAGTTGGGAATATACAAACCATTGGGCAATTTATTACAGTTTCAACGTCAACCACCCTGGCCAGTGTCACTTATTTACAAGTGCTTTGGTTTCTATCGTGGTCGTGTCATTTGGACGTCAATTCAAATGGTCCTAGAAAGTGAGTTGTTCGTTAAAACAGTGGTTGAATACCGTGAAACTTTAGGTCAAATGGAACTTCGACTAAGCACAAATATTAATAACACATACCGGATGTCAGTTGCCTTCAACGGGCTCCATCGCTTTTCGTATTTTCGGTTTCCTTTAAGCGAAACAGTCGAAGCTTCATTTCAGTTCTAGTACGACTGCCTGATCAAGCTATTCCATCAGTGACGTACGCCACTTTTTTGCCAAAAAAGCCAAAATTATAACTCTTGTGTTTTACATCCTTCCTGAATGTTTTTGACAAAAGATTATATATATCATAATAAGTAGTATGTAGTATGTGTGGACAAAACTTCCCTGGAAGCACAGGATCGTTTTCACGGTTCATAGTATTGATTCACCAACGGACTGGTTTTGAAAGAGCTGTCCGAATAAATTTACCCGATGAGATTATGGTGTCGAAAAAATATACATTTCCTGGGTACAAGTATATAAATGAAAAGACAAAAGATTACCGGATACGCATACCTAACGACCACAAAACCGGTCGTATGCCTCTAGAGTAATTTTGTCCAGTCATTCATATAGTACTTATTGTAAAATATATATCACCGGCTTGTGAAAAAGCATGGGGCCAACGCAATAGCAATGGTAACAGAGAATGGGGGAATTGGGGAAGTGAAATGAAGATCAAATAATTACAGTGGATTAAGAGAAGAAGAATTACAAGTTTATGTTTGTTTCATCATAAATTTTTTCGATATTTTTTGCTAAAATAACACTGTTGCCATAAGTTACAAAGATATTTTATCCAACCATCTTAACCTTCGTATCCGTGTTATGAATTTATTCGGTTTCATTACCGCACACATTCACAGTTAACCTTCAAAAGTATTTAGGGCACTTTTTTAAAACATGCCGATGTGTGATAGACAGCAGACGGGATAAACCCCATAGTCACGAGAACCTGTTGTTCAGTGATAGTAACCAGTAATCTAAGCCCCGGGACTTGAAGTGACGAATCACATAAGGCCCCGCTAAGTCAAGCACGGTATTAAACCTGGCAATAGGGAAGTTGTCTACCACCGAAGTTGGGTAGCAGTAGCGGGGCTCGAAATTCGCGCCACAGGGTCCAAAGCACGCCGCTGACAGTGACTGAACCACTGCGTCACCACAACACATTCGAAAACCCCATGCCCATTAGTTGGAAATCTTTCTATCCCATGCACAAGTTTTGATTGTGATTTTGAGTGACAATAAAACCTTGAGAACAGTGAACACCTGACGGGATTGTCCTCTCTGTATTGGCTTCAAGTATCATGTTTTAAACCGTTATTACTTATTTGCTGTAAATACGAAATGGTAGAATTGGTAATAAACGGAAGTTATCCACAAATTAAACTCATCGACGAGCATACCAGTGAGCAAACAAGCTTGTTTTCGGCGATTCAGCAAGATATGTGAAATGTTTCTCATTGAATAAATTAATGCATTTACCACCTGAGGAAAAAAGTTAAATTCATACAAACGACATTCTCAATCATGTACCATGTATCAAACCATTTGCTTTCGTAAATTAATTATTTTATTTGCAAAGTGACCATTAATAAGTATTCAAATTATCGAAATGGGACTGAATTGATTCTTTGTTCCCTCTCTTTCTATGTGTCACGAAACTCCCATGATTCAGAGACCGTCTCTAATGACACAATTGCACCCAGATGGAACATTGTCTATCAGGGCACAAACAAGAGCATAGTTTACAATTTGAAACAATTATTTGGTACGGAAGAGAAAAAACTGATCTGGTCTGCGGAACCTCTGATACCCCGGGAAAATCCGTTGGCTCGATTTGATTTGTCCGAACCGCAAAGAGAAGTATCAATCAGACCGATAGAGACTGTTTACTCGAGACTGGGCAGTCAGGTATTCAATGTGACTGTGCGAGATACGAATACCGATGAAATTGCCGTGGGGACAAATATCACTGTTATTGTGTTACGTAAGTTTCTGCGTTGGATGAAATTCTAATCATCTGGTCCCGACTAGCGATTAATTTTTCACTCATAGCTATACGTAGTTTGATCTTTCGCCTGTTGAGTTGCCATGATTGGTCAGAGCTTTGGAACTCACTACATCAGTCGCAGTAAAACCCAACGGAGCCACTTGTACAGTGAACCAGAGAGATTCAGATGACTGCTAGCTGCCTGTATCATTACACTCCCCTATTGGGCGGTATAGTGCAACTGTAATACATGAGCAGCATCAACCGTTTTCTTTTCGTGTAATTACAAAATAATATGGTGACCCGCAACAAACTCGTAAATATGGGTTGTGCTATATCGTGTAAACGGAAAATGAAAAACGGTCTGCCCGGTGGCCGCGTGGACAACACGCTTACGTTCTGCTCATGAGGTCCCGAGTTCGATCCTCAGTTGGGTCGATAAATTCGCACTGCTGATGAGACCCAACCAAGTCGGAACAGCTGCCCAGTGCCTCCTAGTTTTTCAGTTCACGCTTCCTTCATACACGACGAATTCACCTTTGAAATTGAATCAAATCCTTTATTACTCACTTGAAAGAGTGAATTAGTATGGTGATCCAGATTTCCGTGAATGCGTTCCATGCACGACCAGGTACAGTTTCATGTCATCCAATCACTGTTCCGGAAGCTCGGCCAATGGTACACCGGGCGAGCAGGACACGTCGGTGCAAACGGTTTCGTGATTGGAGGACGGTGATCCAACCAATCATATGGACAATCTCCTCCTATAAAACATGTTCTAATTCCATCGATAAACATTGGCATTCGCTGCTACCAATTCATCCTGTATTTCATTGGTGTCCACAGTTCGGGTTGGAGCCAGTCCAGTTCTGAGCAGTACATTACGGGTTCTGGTATTTGTACATTCGGTATTATTCCGATTACTACAATTAGTCAATTTAAATTACACCGATGCATCCTCGCACTAAAAAAGCTCACTCCAGCAGATCGCAAGCTTGCTTTCGGAGGGCTCCGCATCACACGAGACGAATATTGTGAAAATAGCAGGGAGGATGGAGAGTGTATTTGTGTTGCTGGTCGTGTTTGAGAAGAACGAGCATAACAAATGAGCATAATGGCATAGTGGATAAATGTATGTAATAATCCCTGGTTTGCCTGTTGGCGCAACACTACTATCTGATTGACCAGGCCGAGAACTCAATCCCGAGCGTCTGTTGACAAATCAAACCCACAATACCGAAGAGTGTATCGGTAAATCCATCATGCGCTGTAGCTGACACTGACTGACGACCAGTTTGGACACAGTGTTCAGATGCAATCGCTTACGTGAATCACCGGATTTTGCCGGTTGGCATTTCTATGAAATCATCCAGATGATGCCCGAGTTGCCACAACCAAAACCTCACTACTGATGGTTAGTCAGCCATGTGGAACCCCCCCCCTCTCACAAACGTTCGCCTTTGTCTTGCTGTTTTAGTGGAAACACCTCTGTTACTTGAAGGGGTTGAGTAGGTATTCTTCAGCAACAACTATAAGCATACATCAATGTCGGATGATGAATAGCCGTCAGCAAATCACAAAGTTTAGCTCGAAACTGAATCTCGCTGTTAGATTACAATGTTTTGCTGATTTGTAAAAAAACCAGATCTGATTTTTGCTTGAGAGGATCGCATAGTACATCTAGTTGAAAGATGAAACACAGTTAACTTGAGCTTGAAATACCTATGCAAATGGGTTCGCGCATGCTGAGAACTACTGGATCTTTAGTGTCTAAACCTTTAATTTTTAAAGTGTTGTGCGGCGTCCGGAAGCGATCAAAGTTTACTATGGATATCATACCTCATGTAGGCCAAAGAACTTCACAACCATCCCCTCGATTAGACGAATGAATCAGCAGTTTGTATACATTACATACTCGTTCAGTTCAATAGGAAGATATATCGGCAAGATAGTGTTCTATTCTGTGCCGAATAGCCAATTTCCCCCAAATGCATGAAATGGTAGATTATACTAGCTAAACATGATTGCATATTTCGGAAAGTGTAGTTACCTTTGGAAACTTTTGCTATTCTTTTGTGTTCATCCATATCGGATTGATGTGATTTCCGTGTTTCACCGGACGATCTGAACTGTTCATCAACTGATCTGCCTGTGTGTATGTTTGACATTTCTGCCCGGCACTTAGCCGAAATTCAGATGTACAGATTATACATATTCAGATTCAGAATGTGTTGCAAACAGAAACTGAGTGAATAATCTGAAATTCGTTACCATTTCATCCGTTTTTGTTGCAATCCCAGTTCTCTCACGACCATTTTCGTTTGAGCAATTTCGAATTTCTTACGGGATTTTAAAGACCTGTGCAAACGTGCGTTTTGGGGACCATATGAACACTTTAGGATAATTCCTGTGACCGATTTGCTAATATCATCGTGAATGAGTATCAGTCACTTCTATAGGGGTGTTGGATGGTTAAACGAAATGACAGCGACACGCTTTTGTTCGACTATCTTTTATCCATTTCGTCGGAGTATTTGGCCATGAGTTGAGCTGCTCAGAGTGACTGGCGTTAGAAGCGAACCAAATAGTGGGGTTATGTTGAATTGTTTACAGTTTCACATTAGCCTCATCGATTTCCCTTTCATCCACCATTCAGTTACACCCTTGGGGTCCTTGTCGGTTCACATATAATAATTGTGTTGCACAAATTTAATTTTCCTCACCCCGAGGATTCCCCCCTGATGATTTTTATGCTCTATATACTTTTCTACTACTTCAACTGTACAGCACAAGATGCGAATGGCACCCTGGATGGCATCACAAAAGATCCCATTTTGATTGTCCGTAAAGATGNCGTTGAAGAACTCCAAATACAAGGCAGGTGGAGTGGAGCTGTGAACAGGAAGGATTGGGACATACTCACTATCAATCATACAAACGATCGAGCATTGATCCGTCCCCCAGAGAACTATGAGGCGTTCAGTGTGACAGGGAATGCAGAAGTTATATGTCAATTCTATGCACCGGATCAAACACTGCTCTTCGAATTCAATCGCACCGTGAAAGTAACCGGTGAGTTCTTTTGTTTNTTTTGTTTGTTTCAACCTATGCAAAATGTGGTCAGGTACATTAAACTTACACAGATCCTAAATTAATATATGTATAGCATAGACAAAATACTATAGTACCAGTGTGTACCAGTTTCTCAGCCCATTCGGCAAACAATTATAACCGAATGAGAGCTGACAATTTGCCAATCTCCTCTCCGTCAGTTACGGTGGTAGTGGAAGTTATTTTTTCGTTAAACAAATAAACTATTTACTCGTGGAGATAAAAGTTCACAGTAGCAATTTTTAGAGCAGTGTCTGGTGATAAAAACGTTTATCGGGCGAAAGACGAACATTTAAGTTTATATACTACAAATATGTACCCACAATTATACCAATCTTATTACATCATCCGATTTGATCAAATCAAAATGCATTCATGCAGTCAGCTCGTCTGTCACGGAATGGACCCTGGATTTCACCGGTTAAAAGCGTCGGCCAACCTGTGAAATTCCGCGAGCTATAGTAAATATGTTCATTGTGATAAACACAATATTCAGGAGATTAGCTAATTCGGAAGGGACGAGATTTCGACAGAGAGTCCAACCGGTGAAACTTGACCACCGGAACCGATATCATATTGTGGGCGTCCCAATGCAACGCTATTGATTCATTACCGTGAAGCAAAGACGGAATAAATACAAAAAAAAGCATTAACTTGAACACGGAAGCTAAAAATGACACTGGGGCAACCTAAAGATAAAGATCACGTCCGCAAATGTTACGAATCGAAACAATGTAAGTTTCTACACACAACACATTTCACACCAACCAATAGGACATAACAGAAATATACCAAAACCGCGGTAAACAACAACTACTTCATTCAACAAACCCTACAAGCATGCGTGCATGAGTGCGTCAAACCGCCGGCCAGTCCGCCCGCCCGCGCCTCTGCATCGGCGCCCTTACACTTGCTCATGTGTCTGCGTGTCTTGCCTGAATGTGTGTGCCTGTGCGTGTTCCCGTACCGTGTCATACCTGTTCCTATTCTACCACAAATCTATATCCTTCCCTCGTCACCATTCTCACCGTTCATCAATCTATCCTCCTCTCCCCTTTTCCCGTTCTCCTCCACTCGCACTCGCACTCGCACTCGCACTCCCACATTCCCTCCCTCTCTCACGAACCATGTGCTTGTGCATTTTGCCAATGCAATCTGTCGACTGTGCGTTGTGAAACTCCACCAGATCCGACAAAGTATGCGCTGAAATTCGAACCGTCCAACGGTCTGATTCACGTGGGTGATAGCACCATATTCAATTGCGTTCTAACTTCGGACAATGCCAGTGCAGTGGAGATGATCAATCGCGGCCAATTTCAACTGACTGATTTGAACAATCGAGCAGATTTGTTGTCCACACGAGATGGATCTGTATCGGGGTCGGTTCACTCGCACTCCCACATTCCCTCCCTCTCTCACGAACCATGTGCTTGTGCATTTTGCCAATGCAATCTGTCGACTGTGCGTTGTGAAACTCCACCAGATCCGACAAAGTATGCGCTGAAATTCGAACCGTCCAACGGTCTGATTCACGTGGGTGATAGCACCATATTCAATTGCGTTCTAACTTCGGACAATGCCAGTGCAGTGGAGATGATCAATCGCGGCCAATTTCAACTGACTGATTTGAACAATCGAGCAGATTTGTTGTCCACACGAGATGGATCTGTATCGGGGTCGGTTCTACCGCCGGAGTCTGAGTCGAGTTACACGACGGTGGGTAGTACGATTGTGCGTTGTGATTACCAACTAGACGGGAAGACGGAGGCGACAACGCAATTGAACGTGCACATATTACGTGAGTTCCGTGTCTTATTTGTAACACTGTTGTTCATGCTCTTTCATTATTAGTCACTGACAGGGTGAGAACGTTGTTGCCGTTCGACAAGCGATCGTATGAGGTGATTAGTTTACGCTGATCAATTATCACTTGCGATTACTCGCCAGATAATAGTGTCTGGCGCGTCTGAGTAGGGTGAGAATGTGTCAGTGTGCAGTCGATTCAGTTTGTCGAGACTAGCATTGAAAGGCGTCCAGTTGCATGCCAGCACACATGCCGGTGTTTCTGTGTGCGACGGAGGCGACAACGCAATTGAACGTGCACATATTACGTGAGTTCCGTGTCTTATTTGTAGCACTGTTGTTCATGCTCTTTCATTATTAGTCACTGACAGGGTGAGAACGTTGTTGCCGTTCGACAAGCGATCGTATGAGGTGATTAGTTTACGCTGATCAATTATCACTTGCGATTACTCGCCAGATAATAGTGTCTGGCGCGTCTGAGTAGGGTGAGAATGTGTCAGTGTGCAGTCGATTCAGTTTGTCGAGACTAGCATTGAAAGGCGTCCAGTTGCATGCCAGCACACATGCCGGTGTTTCTGTGTGCGTGCGTGTGTGCGTGTGTGCACGAGTGCGTGCATCCGTGCGTGCGTGTGTGCGTGTGTGCACGAGTGCGTGCATCAGTGCATGCGTGCGTAAGTAGCCCGCAGACATGGTTCGTCGCGTTTGTTCACTGGTGATCAGTGTAGCTGTTTCACTGCACTGTTGACTGGCTGCTTCGTTCACTTTCTATCCACCCCATTCTCTCACCGAATTAACCTCGTAGCACAGGCGCACCTTCCCCTCCTCTACCGAATATTTCCGCGCATACATCCTACTTGCACCAATTCCACTCACATAGGCATCCGACTGATACGTTCACCTAATTCCCAGTTCGTCACCCGTTCGCCGCCGCATCACACTCGCACACAGATTTTCAGAACCATAAAACAAAGCAGACCGTGAATCACAGTGAATTACTCAAGCACTTAGTCATGAGACTAATTCATTCGCCTGATCACCCACTCAGTCCATATCGTACAGACATGCATGCACGTGCTTTGGCACACGCGTGGATCACGTCATATTGTTGTCATATCGTTTCTTCGTATTACTCACATTCGATGTGTCTATTCAGCCATATTGCATTCGTACCTCTCTCTACACCCTGCCCTGCCNTGCCCTGCGCTGCCGTGCCGTGCCGTGCCCTGCAATGCCCTGCCCTGACGGGCCACACACCGCCCCGCCGCACCTCGCCTCGATTCGTCTCGCCTCGCCTCACCTGGCAACGGACGACAACGCCTGGTCACGCCTCACCCAAAACCGAACCAACCTGGCTTCCACTCGTTCACGCAATCAATCTAATTCAAATACAATGCGACACGAAAACCTCTGTGTGCATGCATGTGCATTAATGTATACATGTAAATGCATGTACAACATACTCATGCTCGTGATCCGCTTGTGCTCGATGCGGTCGTTCATGCTGCGTTTGGGGGCTCTCGATCGATTGTGCATGGTACGCAGCGAGAGACATGGATGGCACGCTAAACGGTCCAGATGATCCTGGTGATGTGGTATTGAAAAGAGGCGATAATAAGACACTGGAATGCGATCTGCTCCCACCGGGTACTACCGCTCGACTGGATGGCTATTGGAAGGCAATTGTGAATGGCGAGCAAGCAAACATTGTCTCGTTGAATTTGACCCAGGGTCGAGCGTTGATCAGTCCGCCATCTGGTTTTGACACCTATGAACAATTGGGTCAGGTTCAGGTCTCCTGTCAGTTCTATTCGAAACAGGGTGAACTGTTGCACAAATTCGATCGGAATGTCACTGTAGCCGGTGAGTGCTCGTTGCTCTTCCTATCCTCACCTTCTCAAATGCTTTACCACTCATCCGCAATAAACATCCTCCGTCCCACACACACATACACACACACACACTCACACACACAAGCGTCCACTTCTTTGCAATCCAATCCGATCCAATCCAATCCAGTCTACATAGCGAGATCAGATAAGTGCTTAAACAAATCCACCCAACTCTCCATCTGTCCGTTACACTCACCCACTCAAACATGCCCACACCCATACACACACCCACACATAGCCGTGCACTCCACCACTCAAACTTTCAGGCACTCAGATATTGTCAGTGACATACGTATACGTGAGTTGTCTCTCTCGCACTCCCTCTCCCTCTCCCTCTCAATGTTCGTCTAGCATTCCCCAGTCATACATACACATGCACACAAACACAAAGGCAGCCAGCACACACACACAAACACACACGCACCCACACACACAGAAACACATACACACACAAACAGAAACGCAAACACAGGTACACAAACGGGCACTTGATCGACATGCGGAAAGACAGAGTGGGACAGTGGGAGTGTGCGTGAGAGAGAGAGAGAGAGAGAGAGGGGTCGAGAGAGCGAGAGCCGGGGAGTGCAGGGGATTGAGAGATACAGGAACAATGCAAGGTTACTTACTTGCGAAACATAGACACAATGCATCGCCATTTGCATCAGCATTCACACCCGTGTGTTTGAGTTTGTGTGTTGTGCAAAAGTCTGCTTATTTCAATGCACCACTATATGCATATATCAATGCGACTGAGGCTACCTGCAACAGCAGCCCGCTTTCTATCCTTTTCTCGTATATACACAAATCCACTCGCACCTCGCTCACTTGCTCGCAATCTCGCTTCGCCCGTGTTAATCGCACTCTCTTTCGCTCGCCTACCTGTCCTCGTCTGCATTCTCGCACCTCTGTGTCCATCAATCCTTCCATTCTCGTGACCGCGTGCCCTCCCGTCGCCTCCGCCCACAAATCTTCTCCGACAGATGCACGCATTCGCTCACTTAGTCGCTCTCCCTCACTCGTTCTGGCATATTGGATGCAATCAAATCGGGTGAACTGCACTCGTGTGCATTCGCTCGTGTCCATCACAACCGCGTGACTGTCCTTTCTTGCATGCCTGTGCGTGCATGTGTGCGTGCCCACGTGCGTGTGTGCGTGCGTGCGTGGGTTCGAACACGCGGCGTGGGTGAGTTCTTGCTCGCACGCCTGCCTGAGTACGTTCGCTCGTGCTTGCACGCGTTCGTGCCTGTCTGACTGGATACGGGTGTGGTGTGTTTCGTCAACCAGTGTGCCTGTGCGCGTGCCTGTGCTCCTCCTCGCTCTCAGCTATACCTCTGTCTAATCTTCTACGAATCTCCTTCCATTCCGCGTACAATTCCAGTCACTTCATCACCAGTCTTACTCTCACTCACTCTCTCAGTCGATCTCTCAGTCGATCTCTCTCTCTCGCTCGCACTCTCGATCACTTTCGCTCACTCTCTGTTGCAATCTGCGCGGTGGCCCTCCCTTCACCCCACACTACTCACATTCACACGCATACAAACACTCGTTCATTCAGTCATTCATTTACTCACTCACTGGTTCACTCGCTCGTTCTTGATGAACCATGTACTTGTGCATCTGGTCAATACAATCTGTCCACTGTCCGTTGTGAGACGTGAGCAGCTTCTCCTCTCACACCTTCCACTTGCACCAATTCTACTCGCATACGCCTTCGACTCATGCGTTCACCCGATTCCCATTCCCTCTCCGATCGCCACCTCGTCCAACACAAACACACTGACACATTGACACACGTCGACTACTTCGCGCACTCAATCAGGCACTGATTGAATCGAACACATCCTCGCGTATTCATTCGCTCAATCACACGCTCAGTCCATAGCATACTGACACGCGTGCACGCGCTTTAGCACACGCGATCACGTCATATTGTTGCCATATCGTTTTATTCGTAACACTCAAATTCCTGGTGATGTGGTATTGAAAAGAGGCGATAATAAGACACTGGAATGCGATCTGCTCCCACCGGGTACTACCGCTCGACTGGA